TATATAAAGGAAAGTACATACAGATTGCATTTTTCTTTTACTAAAGTTCTGGCTTTGGGTGTCAGTATAATTCTTCTATAAAATGAAAATTTAAAATTCACTAAATATATAATATACTCATTTAAAATTTTATTTCGGATATCTAGGTTCATACAGGGTGAGTATCCTCTCTCCTAAATGCTTAGGAACAGAGGTGTTTATAGTTTTGTATTTACTCAAATTTTGGCATAGACTTTTACTGGTTGAACATTGCTAATGTAAACATCTAAAATCTAAAATGCTCAAAAATCTCTTATATAATGATCATTATTCTAGCAATCAACATGTTTCTTATTGTAAAACATTTCAATTTTTGAATATTTGTTACTAGGGAAGTTCGAATTATATAACAACAAAAGGACATACAGGAGCTTTAACAGAGTGATGTAGGATCAGGTAAACTAAAATGAGTTTTAATGGGTTTTGAAAAAGGCAAGGAATTTAATCCCTACTCTTTTGCAGAGATTATATATGAAATATGTGCTGTGATGGCTTTGGAGACACTGAATAGAGAGGTTTCCACAACTAGCAAGCAAGATATGGCAGATGCTCTTTATGAAGATATATTCCCTGGGTCATTTTAAGCATGATAGCAGAATGGACTGACAACTAGGACATTTTCTTGTAGTATTTCAAATACTATCTAGTGCTTGAGAATGGAAGCAGGAATAATACTAATCATTACCAAGGGTAACTTTCTCAACTATGAGATTGTTGGGGGTACCAGATTCTACAGGAAGACAGTTACTTAGCTTACAAAAAAAGAGAGAGATGATTCATTTCACATTATGATGTGAGATTTAAATTCATGCTTGTTTTAATAGCATCATAAAATTATGAAGTTAAAACCCAATTGCTAATATTTAAATATCATGTTTTCAAGAAGACCAGATGATGGCAAGGAAAACAGTAGAAGTAAAGAAGAAAAAGGGATTAAAGTGATAAATTGGATAATGGTTAAAATTCTTTTAATTCAGAACCTGTGTTCCAGAATGAAAACATTGCAAATACTTTGTGTTTATACTTTAACATTTATAATGACCTTTAAGTATACCATTAATTACAATTAAATAAGGATATACGAGAAAAATAAAATTCAGGAAATTTGAATGTCATTTTGTCATTCTTTCAAAACTAAATTAAAATATGCATATAATGTTTTCTCTCAAGGTATAGAATGATGTGAAGAAGTCTGGTGTACTGACATAATTTTGATGTTAACTTGACTTATGTTAACTAGGAAGTTAACATAAGTTAACATAGAACTAGGAAAAAAGTATGAAGAACTATTGAGAAAAATGTCAATGAATTCTATCTCACGGTACTGTCATTCTGAGGAGATGCATCCCGTTTTTTAGTGTTGTCCTATGTGTTGAAGCAATAAAAATAATTTTTAGTCATGATTTTAAAACTGTACTTTCTTTTCATAAGCTTGAGTCAATGAACAAGTATTTTATACTGTAAATTATATTTATTATAAATAAACACTCAAACTTTATTTAGGATTTTAGCATATCTGTAAATTACATGGGATGAATATTTACCTTGAATTAATCTTATTTAGAAATGGCTTTATGTTGATGGGGAGATAAATATTTTTTGCTTATCTTTATAGAGTGGATGTGATAAATCACATTCTAGTAGAAAATGTTGGAATCAAAGGTTAATAGAAGACTTATTTTAAAAATGAGGGCGGGCTTATTTTTAAATGGTGCTGAGAAAGTGAAAATTCATTGGGTTTACTGCAAAGACACATTTAATTTTAAATGACATCAAAGTGATAGGATCTATTTAATCACATTTATTTTCTTAAAGATCATTTTACATCTTTACAAAATATAGAACATCTTCACTATCACTCAATAATTTAAGTATATTATGAAATGTGTATACCTCAAAGATAAACTTTTAAACTGATATTCATCTTTATTGTTACCCGTGTTTGTATGTATCTAATATACAGTCAAATCATAATTTCTCATTGCTTTTTCTCTCTTTTAAAAATCTACATATTCTTTTTATCTGTCAGTAGGTGGATTTAGTTATGATACATGTTAACAGAATGTGCTTCAGAATTTGAATGCATTTTCACAGACATCTCTAACCCTTAAAAGGAAAAATCCACTTTTTAACAAGGTGGCCTATTGCTTATGGTCAGGTACAAGAACATGTCATTGTGATTTCTATTAAGAGCTTTTCTTCTTTTTCTAAACTTAGTTTATAGTTAACTGTCTGTACAACTAACCAAGTATATGTATGTATGTATATGTATATATGTATATATATATATATATATATATTCATTTAATGCACTAGTAATGAGCATTGACTTCATTACTAAAACACATATTTTCTTCAATGAGCTCACATCTCAGACTCTCATAACTGTTTCCAGATTCCTTCTAAACCAGAGTACTGCTTGCTCAGGACATTCACCCAGCTCACTCAGTTCTACAACAGTTAGCCAATATCTCCCCATTGGCCATGTATAGTCTACAATGTGAAGATATTCAACTTTAATTCTGTGTGTACAATACATTTAGAGTTCTATTCAAAGCCAGCTAGTGATGCAATAGAAGTGTCAAAAGATCTCTCTCACAATTACATTTAAATTTTATATCATCAAGTGCCTGAAACCTAGGCAATCAGTTTTCTCTTAACTCATTTTAGCTTCAAATATAAAAATAATGTAGTACCTTACCTCAAGGGCAGAAAAAACATAACATAATAGGAAAAGGTAATTTAAGATGCCCAAAATTAAAAGTTAATATACATATTCACATATAAATTTTACCTTCAATAAGTTTGTTTTTCCTGTTTTACTAAAATGTATTTATATATATATATATATATATATAATACTTAAGATATAATGGTAATGGAAATTTTGCATATGAAAATAGAGTCTCTTCATATCCCATGGAAATGCAGATAGGGAAAACATTTATGACATAAATAAATAAATGGAGTTTAATAACAAAATGAAAATATTTGTGAAAAAGCAGTTAATATGCTCATCTAAATAATTATTTGACAGCTTGAAACATATGAACATTTGTAAGGTGGGGAATAACATATCACTTATTCAAGGGCAGTCTCAATAACATAATCATAAAACACAGGATATCACTCTTGGTTTGCATATTAGTATGTCTGAAGTGACTAATGATTCCTGAGCATATCAATTTGTAGAGAGTAAAGCTCTATTTAGATTTGTAAAAATAAGAATACAGTGTTTGTATTTATCATGTTTACTTACCTTATGAAAATAACACATTGTTTTACCTCAAAGATTTGGAGTAGTGTTATATTTAACATTTGATCATATCTTTATAATTATAATTCATCTGTATTTTTGATTGAAAGCATATGTATCTAATGTCTTATCAAAATTCCAAAACTAACATGAATTTAATGATATCCATATATATATATATATATATATATATATATATATATAATTAACGTATGCTTTGGAAATATTCTGAGAATTATGAATTCCTATCTTTAATATTTGAGATCAGTTTTCATTTATTATTTTATTATTTTGTTAAATTTATATTTACCTCTACCTCATTTCATTGAACAATTTCTAAACTTTAAAAATATATGTTCTATGGGCTGGGGATTTAGCTCAGCGGCATAAGCACCTGCCTTGCAAGCAGGAAGTCATGAGTTCGGTCCCTGGTACCAATAAAAAGGAAAAGGACAAAAAATATATATATATATATATATATATATATATATATATATATATATATATATTCTAATTTATGATTATTTAAAAACTTTTATAAATAGAAATTTAATAATTACTAATTCAGTAAGGACTTATAAAACTAAATATTAGTTAAAATACAGTGACCTGTACCTCTTGTCAGTATGCTAAAGTACCTGGGAAAGTTCTGCTAATACCTCAAAACATGGGTGATAGTCTAAAAGCATTTGTAACAGCAAAGGGAACACTTTTGTGATTATATTTGTTAGTGAATTGTTTTGGGTCAATTACCATCTAAGATTTTACAAAATAAAACAGAAACATGGAGAGAGATGATGCATATATTAAGAGTATCAGGAATTGTGCTAGGAATTGTCACTTCAAATTACTTTTCAAATCCTCACAATGACTTGTAAAATGTCCATTATCACAATTTTGATACTTCCAAAGCCTTGGTTGTAAATAACCATAAAGTATTATCATAATAGCCCCAATATCAAGATTTGATTTATCAATTAGGTAGTATTCATGCATACATATTTAACTGAAATTGTAGAAAAATGACTTATGCAATATTTATTTCCTCAAATCTAGTACTATTAAAAGGAAATTCAAAATTTTCTGACTTTAAAACATTAACTAACCTCTTTTTATTACAAAGTTATCCAGGTAAAATATTTTAGCTTGTGTTCATGTGCAAGTGTTGGAAGCTGTCTTAGGGATAGTCAGTCAAGACATAAATAAATATTGTGAATCATATGGACTGATATTTGCAGAAAAGGAGCATAATTTTCATTTTAAGTTATTTTATAGATGCTCCAAGTTATAAGGACCAAATTGATCTAAATAATTACATTGAGTTTTCTTAACTTTGTAAAGATCAACAGGTATAAGATGTGATAATTTTCACAATAATATAATCTCATATCTTCTTCTCATATGTAAAACAGAGTACCTATTGACAATATTATAATCTTCTTATGACATATGTCATTACAGAAATTCACATTATTGAGAAGGGCCAAAGGTAAATGTTTTAAAAATTAATCTGTCTTTAAAATATATACTGCTACTTATTTCTTAATTAAAATTCTACATAATATTCATAGCTCTGCAGAAGTAAAACAAAAATGACACTATGAGGAAAGCAACATGAACTTTTAAATTCACAAGTACATAATTAATTTTTTAATTTTCACAACTTACAGTACATCTTAAAAGCCAAGGGATAAGATACTTTTACCTTAGAAAATTGTGCATTTATCCATTTTGTGAATGTTTTCTTTTGAACATCTTCTCTTTCATCTACAATGTAAGATAAAAAGCGATCAAAAGAAAGTAATTTTAAATCTATCTCACAATCAAAATAAATTTTAAATTATTATATATTAGTGTCACTTATGTTAAATATTAAACTTATTCATAAATAAAATTAAACATGAATGATGTTGGTATTGGACATTGAAACTAAAATTACTACTGAAAGATAATTTATGTGCTCAAGTTCATAGTAAGTCAAATATTACAGAAATACCTCCTAGAAAAATAGTCTCATCTAAATATTTATAACAATAAAATAATTAACTACTCTCAAAACATAAACTATTAGCTGTCATTTTGGGGGTAAAAATATGTTTGTCAGTCTTATCATATGCTACTGTCTTCTCCTCAACCATAGATAAATATAGAAATGATTTTTCCCTCTGTTGCTACACCTATATGCTCTAGAATGGGCCTGATTCCCTTATGGAAGAGGCTCCCTGACGATCAGAAGCATGGCTTAGCTATCTTTGTATCCCAGAACTTAGTATAGTTTTTTTCTGTACAAATTAAGAGTTCAAAAAATATATTTGATAAATATGTAAATGCATTAAGGCAGGGACAGTTCAATAAGTCCCAAATTTCTAGTACCTCTTTTCATCTAAAAGTCTAAAAATTTCAAATAAAAATGCAAATGATACTCTTCATGGCTTATATATAAATACTCAAAGGAAAAAACCCTCAGGGCTTATGCTAAGGATTAGGGTAAAAAATATTAAGAAATAGCTTCATGGAATTCATGCTTCTAAAAATTATTTCCTTAAGGCAGAAATTAATATTAAGTAAAATGGACATAAAAATTATCAATCTTGATTTATTCAAAGCGTTTTCATAGCCAAAGCCTATCTTTTAACTCCTACAAACGTGGTATTAGGTAATATTCAATAAATGAATATGTCAGGAGATATTTAACATTTGATGATTGTCACATTTTATTGACTTGACTCAAAAGAATTATTACTAGAAAACTCTGAACATTAACCCTACTTATTCTCACTTAACTTTTCAAATGGATTACATACACTGAAGAATCACTTTCCATAAGAAAGATATGTGTACACTCTTAGCATCTGCTTATCTTTGAATTTCAGTATTAATACTTATATCTTTTAACCAATATAATAGCAGAAGATGAATAACATTTTAAACTACTTTCTTATAGAAGAAATTTCTAGTGAATGTCACAAAATACACTGTTCTTTTACCACAGACTATTTTGAATATGGTCAATATCAGCATTATTCTCATAATATACAACAATTCTTACATATAATGTGAAAATTTTTCCTTAGTTGAAAAATATGAATAAATAAATATAGGTCATAACTATTTTAAAGCCTTATCTACCTTCTTTTGAGTCTTTTTATCGCCTTAAGTTCAATGTTATTTTAACAAAATAATGATAAAAGAACAGAACATTACAAATAGTCAAACTTTAGTCATTGGTTTACTATGAAAAGCCTGATTTTAAAAAAAATACCTCATGTCTTTTTTTAAAAGTCATATTTTTGTCAGTACATGGTTGTGGTATATAACGATTACATTCGTCCCCGAGTATTGGTACATGTTCATAACATAATTTATTTTATCTCCTCTCCTTTCTCCCTCTTCCCTCCACCTATTGGCAAGATATTTTTGTAAAAATATCTATCTTCCTGTTTCCATTTATCCTTCTTTTATTAGGCTCTTTATTTATAGTTTGAGTTACTCTTCTAAAAGAAAATGTAAAACATTTAAGATTGCATATCTGACTTATTTCACTTAACAGTATGCTCTCAAGATACTTCCATTTTCCTATAAACAAGTCAAATTTAAGCGTCTTTATGACATAATAGTATTTCATAGGGTACAAACATCACATTTCCTTCGCCCACTGATCTGCCAATATACCTATAGGCCATTTCAAGCTACAGCTTTTATGAGTGTTGCTGCTATAAATAGCCGTATCCACTTAACCATTTCAGGAACACAGATGCAAAACGAAGAGCTTGATCAAATGGAATTTCTACTTTTGATGTGTGAAATACACATCAAAAGCTGACCTAAACATCTATTTTTTAGTGATGTATACATATATTCGCAAAATTAAGTAACCTTGTCCCCAAATTTACTCAATTTTCCTACTATAATTTACTATACTTTTGACAAATTTTTCTCTTCCTTCCTTTTTCTCTCCCAGTTTCTGGTAAGCACATTCTACACTCATTTTCTTGGATTTTGCTAAGTAATGTCCAATTGTATTTCCAATGAGCATATGCATTTTTTTCTGTCTGCATTATAATCATAATGGCAAATACACTATTGAAAAAGTTTCGCTGGTATTTTACTATAAGTGATTGCTGCTTTCTTAGACATGATATTTAATATTTGCTTTAATATAAATTGCTCTGATTAATAATGAAGTACAGCATTACATGTATTTATTAACTCTGCATGTTTCTACTTCTGTCACAATACTAGCTTTCATCCTCTGCTAATCATCTATTGATCACCACATGTCTTGAAATTAATTAGAATGAAGTAGTACATTGATAATTTTAAACACTTCAAGTCATGGAATCCATCAGATTATCTGAAAATATAATAATACTTTTCTTTCTACAAAGAAATGTCTAAAGAGGAAAATTTGCATACAGAAACAAGGCGCTGTTAGAACTCTCTGTGGAAGATTCCTATTACCATGAAATCCAAGAGACACTATAAAAAATAAAGTAATTATCCTTAATGAACAAAGATATTTTCCCAACATATTATATGTATTTTAAGTTTCCTTTCATATTTTATATGAGAAAGTTATATATTTTTATAGTTCTGAATCTTCAAATTCCTGTTGTTTTCCGCATATCACTCAAATGTTGATCATTTTCACCGTGATTAGTTGTGAATCTACAGTAAATCTAAATTCAATATACATATATAAACCATTATAGAGATTACTTATGCTAGTGCAATACAGATATTATTACAGACACACAGTATACAGTAAAACATATTAATACAAAATTGGAAACAAAACAAAAATGTGAAATAGGTTTCATTAGGAAGTGATTATCTACATTTTGCTTCTGTCATTTCAAGTAACACTTATTACTTTTCATTTTTGATAGGGATGTTTATAAATTATTTTCTTTTACTAATAAAATATGTATGAGCATATATTAACATGAGAGCCATACCAGAGAATAAAATTTTGCATAGAAAAATTTATTATTATTTTATTCTCTCTATGGAGAGAATAAAATTATTTTTCCTCCATGACAAAATTTATGCTTCTTCCCATAATTAATCAACTCATTTTAATAGTTACTTTTTATTCAATGTATCTATCTCTTTATATTTTCCAAGATTAATGCATTGTTCATTCACCCTGTTATTAATCTTTATATTTCTGAAATACTCAGGGGTTTATATGTGGACTATATTAAGTTTTGATATTCCTAATTCACAAGAGCAAGATTCTTCAGAAAAAAATGTTATCAACTAAAATGAGAGAATATTCTATCAAGAGCACTGGCTCTCAGTCCCAGTGTGGTAATTATTAGAATTGTGGTCTATAAATCACCAGGATTTAGCCTCATTATCTATGAAATAAAGACATTAATTAATTTTGAAGTTATGGTGTTATTGTTAGAATATAATGGAATTGTTGATGCAGGTATTTATTGAACAATTACTTACAGAATGCTTACTATGTGTTAGCCACTGTATTAACTCCAAGAAAATAAACAAAATTCGGGCTTTTGCAAACTTTACAAATCAGTAGGAAACAGACATATCATAGATAAACATAAATTATTTTTATGAGAAGGATTTTATATATATATATATATATATATATATATATATATATATAGTACTTTAAGAACATACAGAGAATGATATGCACCTACATGGGAATTAAAATATTTGAAAGAATTTTGTGGCTGGTTTGTGTCTAGAAAGATAAGTGAAAATAAGGAAGAAAAAATGTTGAGGAAAATAAAAAGATAAATTTTGCTAAGCAGAAAGTTAGGGCAAAACCACCACTAAGACATCAAAAGTGTATGCTCTTTTTTTACATCCAATTCCATTTTATGGCTTTTTAGAGCATGAGCAAGAGAGTGACTTTGGGAAACAGTCGCAAAAATTGCTGCTAGCAGGGTGCTAGGAGGTCTCCAAAATATGATCCCTTCCCTTTGTCAGCTTTCATGTAACACAGTAAAAGTGAAAACATGTGAAAACCGGCAAACCAGTTTTGTAAGCACCACGGATTATGTTTAGTACACAGAAAAATTAATAATTATCTGTGATAAAAACATTTAAATGCTATTTGTATGAGTTAATATGCTAACTGAAGAACCTCATCTCATGTGTGACACAGAAAATAAAAGTTTAGCTATAGAAAGTTATATTAAAATTTCCAGTGACATAAATACAGTAAAAAATACAAAATGATATAGGCTTATTTCCTTTTAAAAAGAGGACAATGAAGTAATGAGAGCTTTTAGGTTCAGTCTATTCTCTATGTCTACCAAAAAATGAGAAAAAAGGGAAATGAGAAATATGGAAGATTAATGGCCAACATTAGATAAAGTAATGTGATACCTTGGACCATTATGAAAGAAGGCTCTAAACTCAGGACATCTTTAGAAAATGAATTTACCATGCTATTAATGCTATAAAATGGCAATGTATAGTGGAGGAGGTTAGGATAGAAAATAGTATGAAAAATGCTTTCCATTAAATCTGAGTAATAGCATTTGGTCATAGAATTTTAGATTTCTAGACCCTAAGGTGACATTAATGGTCAGTTTATAATGAGGACTAAAATAATTAAATTTCTGCACAAAAAAACCCAGAAAAACTGTTAGTGTCAAAGAGGTCTCCTCATTTCTCATTCACTCTGCAATCAGGGCAAGGCCGGTTTCACTGATCCTCATCCTACAAATTTGTTCTTAGTGACATTACCTATATCTGTTCTCATTTCTAAGATAGTGATGGTATGG